GTCATAATTTTTGGTATAGTAGTTGTGACTTATTCACACTATATACATTTGGCTTCCGCAATAGAAACAAAACACAAGGATCAATTAATGGGACTTTAGGCATTTTACAGGCGTGTCTTAATTCAAATACAGTTAAACGTGTTGTATACACTTCTAGTGCATCGACAGTTGTGGTTGATACTTCAGATATAGTAGATGAAAGTTCGTGGAGAGACGTAGATCTTTTAAGAACCTTAAAGCGTTTTGCAAGTTCTTACGCCATCAGCAAGACCTTAACAGAAAAGGCAGCTATAGAATTTGCAGAAAGAAATGGAATTGATATTGTGACTGTAATCCCAACTTGGATACATGGCCCTTTTCTTGCTTCTCAAATTCCTGGTTCTGTTCGTTCATCCATGGAAATGATTCTTGGTACGTACATATAAATTTTGTAACTTTAGTGTTATAGTCAATAAAGCTCAATTGCTTTAATTTGACAAAAAAATAGTTTTTGATTTGTTAAAGACATAATTAAATAAATAATATGGTCCCACGTTTCAACATAATATTATAGTAAACATAGGCTATGTGTTCAAGTCTCACTATCATCTATTACCAAAAGAAGAATTTCCACATGCTTGGCTCCTGAAAGAATCAAGCTCGCTTGTGAGAAGGGGCTAAACTTCAATGTATGTTTGCTAAATAGTTGTTAAAAATTTGTGCAGGGTCATCAAAAAAATAGCTTGCACTATCCTGCAGTAGTACCTTTTGTACATGTAGATGATGTGACAAATGGTCACATCTTTCTTCTTGTCTATCCTAACGCGAAAGGGAGATATATTTGCTCAGCTGTTGAAATAACACGCGAAAACCAAGCTGAATTTCTTACAACTAGATATGCTGAATTTCGAAAGCAAATTACCGAGTAAGTATTGCAATGAAATGCATCTTTCAATTCCTTATATTAATATCTATGTGCAACTCAAATTAAAAGGTTTAATTTGAGAAAACGGAAGAAGATAATTGATTTTACTGTTATTTATTTTTAGGTATACAGGGCAAAGTAGTGAAGAACTTAAATTACCTAGCTTTTCATCAAAAAAACTTTTAGAGACTGGATTCAAGTACAAGTACAGCCTTGACGAAATGTTCGATGGAGCAATTGGATGTTGCAAACAAAGAGGCATACTCTAATCTCTTTCTAGCAAATAAAATGTAGAAACTTCATATTATATGAAGCTCTTCCCTTTATTGTTCTTCCATTAAATCCACACTTATTATGGTGGAGACCGATAATTGATGGTAGAGGACTAGACACATACCATCAAATTCCTTATTTGGCATATCAAAATTAGTTCCTGGGTTTGAGACCAAATTACATTAAAAAAAGTTTGAAAATTAGTTCCCGGGTCTGAGAAGTGTTTTTTTCGAAAGTACTTTTGGTGAGAAACAGTTTGTATTTGGCTAATTAGTTTGAAAAGCACTTCTGAGCAGCAATTAGTGTTTGACCAAGCTTTAAAAAACTGCTTCTAAGTATATTTTTCTCAAAAGTGCTTTTGGAGAGAAGCTATTTTTTTCTGCTTCTCCAAAATTGCTTCTGCTTCTCCTTAAAAGCACTTTTTTCCTTCCAAAAGCTTGGCCAAACACCTCAGTTTTTGGCCAAAAGTGCTTTTGGGAAGAAAAAATAACCACTTTTGTCCAAAAAGAAGCTTAGCCGAACAGGCTATAAGTCAACAGAGTTACATTGTTAAGTTCTTTTTCCCCAATGCATAGTTAAGTTCCAATTGAGGAATTCTTACTGATTCATCTAAAATTGGTTGATCTTGGTAAATAGCCACTTCTTAAGTCGGTTATTAGAGCTTAGCAATATTTTAAATTGTATCGGTAAAGTAGTCAATTATCAATATGAAAATACAAGTCTTGACGAAAATACCCCTATCGGATCGTTTTTGTGAAAATTCTTGGATTTTTCACAAAAATTAGTATTTTTACCTGATGTTTATATTTAAAGGTTAAAAATTATTGAAGTATAACGTGAGTTCAGAACCATGAATCGTTCCTGGATTTTTTTGGATTTTGCACTAGTAAAGGTTAAAAAACCAATAATTTTTCTTGGATTTTGTACTAGTAAATGTTCAAAACTATTAAATTTTGAAAATTTTAGCATAATTTACGGGGGTTTCACTTGTCAAAGTTTCGAACTCCAGTATCGATTGCTAGAGTTATGTTCCGTATTTTTGTTGGGACAAACATGCCAATTTAATCGGATCAGTTGTTACTTTGCCATTACCATTACAATTTAAAATAGAGGTAAACTCAGCTGCCCCGAGAAAGTGGCCAACCCAGTTAATTTTTACTTTAAAATTAACTGGGCCATCGAAGCTGGGCCTTCATGAAAAATTGGCGTAAAAATTTAAGGGATTTTTACCTTCCTATACCATATATGAAACCTTATTACTCTCAATGTTTAAGGATTGTGTTAATTACATTTCATCATACCAAATTACCATTTATATACCACAATTCAAATTAAGGGTATAATTAATGCTTCATTTATATTAGGCATTAATTTAGGAGCGTATATTCTCCCATTTTCGTTTACCCGCCTCTCTCTCCTCCCACCCCCCAC